CAACTGAAATCGAAGAAAAAAAATATGAAAAGAAATTAAGAAAAGAAAAGAAAAATTCACTTATCCAATTATCATGCAACCAAAAAGTCTGGAAGGAGAGAAAGGTGGTCACTGACTGGAGGAAAGGTTACCTCCTGAAACAACTGAAGAAGGGCGACTTAGAACTCTGGAAGAACTAGCGAGGAATCATGCTCCTGTCGACGCCAAGCAAAATTCTGAGTCGCATCATCCTGGAGAGAATAAAGGACGCACTAGACACAGAACTCCGCCAACCAGAACAAGCTGGATTCAGGAAAGGCAAATCATGCGCTGACCAAATTGCAACTCTACGCTTCATCACCATATCGAACAAACCATGGAATGGCTGGCAATCAAACCTCTACCTCAACTTCCTTCATAGACTTTGAGAAGGCCTTCAACAACGCGGCGTTGACCGCGAAGTAATTTGGAAACTACTCGAGTACTACTACGGCGTACCACAAATATTCATCAACCTTATTCAACAACAGCTGTACGACAACGGCACATGTCAAGTGATCCACAACGGAAAACTCAGCGAGGCTTTTGGAGTAAACACAGGAGTCAGACAAGGGTGCTTATTATCACCAATGATATTCCTAATTGTCGTGGACTGGATTGTGCGTCAGACGACAGTGGGAAACGAGAAGACAGGGATATCTTGGACCGACGTGAAGAACCTAGAAGACCTGAATTTCGCGCGTGGATAATTTATCTTTGATGTCACACAAAATCGAAGACTTACAAGCGAAAACCGACAAACTGGTCGAAGAAACAGCAAAGACAGGACTCCAGGTGAACATAGACAACACGGAGGTTATGAAAATAACCAACCAACCAACAACAACAGTAACAACATTCAACGCCAATCACCAGCGCCAACGGAAGGGATTTGAAAGATGTTACTTCATTCACTTATCTAGCTAGGGAGCATTGTCTCAACTACAGGAGGAGGAACGGACGAGGATGTCAAATCGAGAATCGGGAAGGCGAAAAACACATTCATCAACCTGAAACCAATCTGGAAATCCTCGTCACTCAGCAACACTCAACAACAAAATTCGGATTTTCAATACAAACGACGTCAAGTCAGTCAGTTCTTCTATACGTACGGATGAGAAACTTGTCGGTGGGTCACAAAGAATATTTCCAACAGCCTGTTGCAGACCTTTTTCAACAACAGCTGTCTTCGTTCTATACTGCAGATCAGATGGCCGGAAAGAACAAGAAGCAACAAGAAATTATGGGAACAAACAAACAAAACGAGAACCAATCGCCCAACAAATATGCAGGAGAAAGTGGAGATAGATTGGACACTCGCTGAGGCGGCTGCTGCTGGGTGACATCGCGCGTCAGGCCAATGCTCGAGTGGAAGCCGAAAGGGAAGCGGCGAGTGTCCCACTCAGGTTTGTTCAAGGGCGACATGGAGGAGATCGTGTGAAGAGGAGCTGAAACAGTATGAACTGACATGGATGCAGGTGAAAAGTACAGCAGAAGACAGAAGCAAGTGGAGACGTGCAGTTGAAGCCCATTAGGAACCACTAGGAAACCAAGGGAACAATAATAATAAACACGCTAATAATTCGGTATATTCAAAGTATACAAATATGGTTAAGATATATAAGTAGATGATACTTTTGTAGTGCTAAAACGACATCTACACAATTCATTCGTGGAGAAAATAAACTGTGTATCTCCCAGAATCCAGTTCACTTCGGAAGTAGGCAGAATCAGACGTCGCTGAACTACCATTTTTACAGTGCCTCGCTAATTAGGCGGAGTGAAAAAAAAACGGACATTTTAGTATATCCATATTCAGGGAGAGAACCCATTCCAACATAAATATTTAGACTTCAGATCATCAAACCCCATATCAGCGCAAAGATTTCAGTTGTTTCAAGTCTTCTTAGACGAGCACACTCTCTGATGTTAACGGGTGAGAAAGAAAAAGTGGAAGAAGAAATATCAAACATTACTGAAACTCTCCTCAAGCAAAACAACTACCCAACGAACTTCATCAACAAAATCAACACTGACATTAGGTATGGTCGAAAACGCATTCCGAAAACATGGACATCAACAGTTGTCATTCCATATAGAACAGAGACGTCAGACGATATGAGAAGAGTATTCAATAAGCTCGACATCAGAGTTTTCTTCAAAACATCAGGCACGCCCACTACGAAACAACCTTGTCCATATAAAAGACCAAATCCCTAAAGATTCTCTCTGATTGTGTCTATAAAATTAAATGCTTGCTTGGAATGTGATGCGATGTACATCGGACAAACATCACCAGAGAGAAATCAAAATCAGAAGAAATGAACACCGTAGAGTGAGCATCTGTTCGACCACCGAGAAATAAATCCAGTTGAACTAGAAAAGCTTGAAAAATCATCAGCCAGCCATAGGTTGTCTACACGCTACGCTATAGAATCAGGCCACAAAATTGATTTTGACAATATTGAAATCATCATCCAGAAAAAGCATTTCAGAAATCACAAAGAACGTCTAATAGCATCAGAAGCACTTCATATCATCTGATTGAATCCGAAATGTCTGAATAGGAATGATAGACTGAACTAGAATCTGACCTGGTTACAACACCTCTCGCCGGAACCTCCATGAAATGACAAAATCAACACGAATGTCACATGCAAGTTCATTGTGCAAACACACACTGCTTTTATAATTTTACACACTTATCAAATCCAACAATCTACACTTGGTTTTGTTATCTTTACCAATTGACCAACTTGACAACGAAAAATGACCCCAGAGTGACGAACGATGATCAAGTTAGTAAACTTTGTTTTGATACCATAACAGATGTACTATTACTACCTTTGTTTTTTGGTTTAGTGATCTTCATTGTTATGTTCTGACTTTCAATATGTTCTCCTTTTAACCTGACATAAGTAGACTATTTTCTCACCCACCTCTTAACTCTTTGTTATATATGTATGCTGAGTGGATTTTGTAAATTCTTCTGGTTTATTAATACTGCTTTGATAAAGCTATTAGCAGCAGCATTGAATAGCGAAACGTCAGTAAGAGCAACCATAATATCGTTTTGCTCTTTTTCATTCATTCATTAGGAAATACAAGAAAACAACCTTTATTATAATGAATATCAATGAGTTGCTTAGCCTAATTTTTGTTTTATTATAGTGAATTTATTATAATGAAGTTATTTAAATCAAAATACGTGATATGTGCTTTATCCCATAAGTGGTCGGTAGTCAAGCAAGCTTAAGTGCATGAATGGCGCTATTTACTACTTATGAAATGATATGAGTAGTAGAAATAATTGTCAACACCAGATAGACACGATCTAAACACGGAACTGCCATCCCCATTGTTTGGAGATGAGTTCAGCATCTGGTACTACTGCTGTCCACTCTGTTTAGGTAGCTTCAGACTGGCCGTCTAGCAAGAATTATTTAATGATGTAAGTGGCATGTAGCTACTCATTTCCACCAGTAAGTAGTATGAATTGAGTCTTTGAAAAATTCCATATGGATAAGATTTCATTTTGATAAACTGTCAAGTCATTCACTCACTCACACAACTTTTTCGATTCATTTATATACATGTGTGGAATTGATGATTAGATATTTGAATAAAAATCAGTAATATGGGATGATATACATTCAGAAAGAATAATAATAATAATATGAGTGTTATTGATTAATTACAATCAGATGGGAAATAAGCCGAATGTTTTTACAGTCATAATAAGTGAGTAACTTGTTAGAATGTTGTGATGTACGTGAATTGAATTGAAATAGAATACAATTTAAGATTATTTATTATCCTCCTCTGATTTGACTGACTGGCTGGTGGTAATAATATCTTCCATATTTCTGGTATTTGCATTGAGTCATTTCTGTTGCATGTGTTGTGTTGGGTGAAGACTCGATGAACCAGGAAGGATTCAGTAATCAACCTCTCTCTCTCCACCTACCTAGATTACTTTTTAGAATTTTAACCCTCTCCCACCATGCTGTTGTTTAACTGTGTGTTAATGCATGCAGTGCAATGTAGTGCTGAGTGCTTTTTTCTAAATTACTTATCTCCTCGGGTGGGGTCAACCATTCTTACCTTAGCTAAATTCTAATGTTCCAACAATCCGACTACCCCCGACCTACTAGTTTACCCTATGTGGTTGACCTAATTCACAGTCATTGCAAGGTATTTTGTAAATTATATTATTTTGTCTAATTGGGTCAACCGACAGGGTCCTTTAACTTAGCCTACAGAGCTTGTCCTGTTTGAGTGAGTTTGTAGGTTTGAATGCCACCACCAGTCTAATTCGTGCTTTATTAAGAATACCATGTAGGGAGTGTCTCAGATGTCCCCTCCTTATATGGTATAACTGCTGTAGATGACTTATATTCTCTCTTATTTATGTTATTATTACTAGTTTCACAATTCTTTTTCTTTTTCTTTTGGCCTTTTCAATCTTCCTAATGAATTTTATAGGATAGTTAGTTATTTAACACCAACGCCTCTTCTTCTGTCTGTTTCATTTCATCATTTAGGTCTTTTTTGTGCTACTTAGTACCATTGCTCGGTTTGTTAGACACTTTGTCACTGTCTGGGTTCTTTCAGGCTTCTCCCTTAACTTGATGTTTTTCTCGATAAATCTTGGCGTATGTCCATTCTCTATGGGGAATTGTCTGAGTCGAGTTTGCTTTTGCTTTATTAATTAATTTACTATTAATTACATCACTCTCACATGTTCCCTGTTGTACATTTTCACACCCTCTCGGCACACTTGTTAAACTGACACTCAACTACCACCTTTATTCTCAATCACTCAATAGCAATTTTAACCTTCCTTATCAAATTTCTATCTTTGTTCCGTTCAGTACCACGTAATTTACAACTTTTAATTTTTTTCACTTCTAAAGCCACTTCTGAGTAATTATATCAATTATGTCACTTTAACCCCTCCCCCTATTACTCAATAATAGACCACTATATATACATTTTTGGTAAGTATAAATCCGACTGTACAGCCAAGCCAACATATGAAGATGATTTGGTCGACAAAGAAGCATTTTCTTCGCTGGCTGAATTTCTCTTTTAATTTTCTTCATGACTGAATCAGTGGGTATTTTCAGTGTTTTGATAATTCTCAAGTAGGGGGGGTATTCCTAAAGTCTACCAGTGATCGTATGGGGCAACCTGATTTATGTATTTCAATAGTACCATCCTATTGTACTAGCATTATTCTAATTTTTAGGCATTAAATTAAACCATTATTCAACAGCTGTACGACAACGGCACATGTCAAGTGATCCACAACGGAAAACTCAGCGAGGCTTTTGGAGTAAACACAGGAGTCAGACAAGGGTGCTTATTATCACCAATGATATTCCTAATTGTCGTGGACTGGATTGTGCGTCAGACGACAGTGGGAAACGAGAAGACAGGGATATCTTGGACCGACGTGAAGAACCTAGAAGACCTGAATTTCGCGCGTGGATAATTTATCTTTGATGTCACACAAAATCGAAGACTTACAAGCGAAAACCGACAAACTGGTCGAAGAAACAGCAAAGACAGGACTCCAGGTGAACATAGACAACACGGAGGTTATGAAAATAACCAACCAACCAACAACAACAGTAACAACATTCAACGCCAATCACCAGCAACGGAAGGGATTTGAAAGATGTTACTTCATTCACTTATCTAGCTAGGGAGCATTGTCTCAACTACAGGAGGAGGAACGGACGAGGATGTCAAATCGAGAATCGGGAAGGCGAAAAACACATTCATCAACCTGAAACCAATCTGGAAATCCTCGTCACTCAGCAACACTCAACAACAAAATTCGGATTTTCAATACAAACGACGTCAAGTCAGTCAGTTCTTCTATACGTACGGATGAGAAACTTGTCGGTGGGTCACAAAGAATATTTCCAACAGCCTGTTGCAGACCTTTTTCAACAACAGCTGTCTTCGTTCTATACTGCAGATCAGATGGCCGGAAAGAACAAGAAGCAACAAGAAATTATGGGAACAAACAAACAAAACGAGAACCAATCGCCCAACAAATATGCAGGAGAAAGTGGAGATAGATTGGACACTCGCTGAGGCGGCTGCTGCTGGGTGACATCGCGCGTCAGGCCAATGCTCGAGTGGAAGCCGAAAGGGAAGCGGCGAGTGTCCCACTCAGGTTTGTTCAAGGGCGACATGGAGGAGATCGTGTGAAGAGGAGCTGAAACAGTATGAACTGACATGGATGCAGGTGAAAAGTACAGCAGAAGACAGAAGCAAGTGGAGACGTGCAGTTGAAGCCCATTAGGAACCACTAGGAAACCAAGGGAACAATAATAATAATAATAAAGCCATTTAGACACACCACCTAGTGACAGCTTCATTCTCCATAATAATTCCTGACTCAATAAATAAATAAATGTTTTCTTCAAAAAAAAGCGAAGAATAAAACGATTGATGAAAATGGTTTTCTTTAAAAATTTCTTTAAATCAAAAACTCACTGTTATCGATGGATTATTTGACCAGACAATATCAGGTGAAAGTGGTGTAAAGTGAGTCACCTGGAGAAATAAGCCTGTTTCACTCGGATGTTGCCCAACAGTTGTGGAACTTACGTCATTGTGGTTATAGACAAGCACCCCCTGTGAATTTGTTGTAATACTCATATAGTGCTCAGGAAGTGCACTGCAAACAATCAAATAATACTTGTACTCAACATTCAGTGGAGCCAGTATCACTTCACAGACTATATAGTATTCATTATTAGGAAATAACTGAGCGAAAAGGATTGGCCAACCACATGATTGTTGCAGACGGATCAACATTTCACACCAGGGAGTTTTTGCCTGGACCACTTGAACTGGAGACAAAATCAATGGGAGATGTCGTTTAAATGGATGCCAAAATGGTCGATGGATCTTGGCTGTTTGCATTAATCTCGTCAGGCCTAAACACAGTCGAAGATGTTCCAAACACTCAGATATCATGGAACGCCAACGAACATCTCCATGGGCTAGATTACGTAGACTTCTTGACTGGATCGACGAAATACGATCACTTTCATGTGAAGAAGGTTGAACTAGACCGCCGGAGGCGGTGACAACACGAACACGATTCGAGGAGGCTTGATTGAAAGCCGATTCCAATGAGCTGAGTGCATTGATAGCACTGGAACGGGAAAAATTTTCAGAAATACCGGTAAAATTTGAAGGAACATTGACAGGGGAACTCATAGCACCGAATTCCGTGTCAAGTGAGGTGAGAAGTGGAAAAGAAGCGCATATAAATCCCTGGACAGGATCTACACGCACTTGTAAGGATTCTTGTGATCCACAAGGCCATAAAACTGGTACATAGAGGCATAATGGCGCATCAGTCAAACGTATAGGTCCCGGACTAAGGACAAGTAACTCTTGTCTCAAATCCTGCAAAGAGAAATATATATATATATATATATATATAGTAAATGTGGAATACACATTGTTAATAATCACTAGAAAATTCAAATTAACCGTTTTACAACTGGTTTCAGTGATAATCCTGCCTGCAGCTTGTTGAAGGGAAATCTCATTTTTCATAAAATTCAAAAATGACTACCACTCAAATGTATAACAGTCACAGAGTTAAACCATTTAAACACCTGAATAATTCACAGACAATAAACAACAACACTCACCCTTCGCTTATTTTTACTTGTGAAGAGGAGCAGGATAGTAAACTACATTTTCTGGATGTCTTGCTAAGTAAGTAGGCGAGAAGATGGGTCACTTGGGAGAAGTGTGTATAGAAAAAACACATTCACAGGACAATGTACACACTTCCTTAGTTACGTGGCCATTAAATATAAAAGAATTGTTGTTAAATATCTTACGAGCAGAGCAAGAAAGACATGTACGGATGACCTCTTACAAAAGGAATTTGAATATATTCACGATTCCTTGATGGAGATGGGCTATCCGAGTAATTTCATAAAGAAACATATGAAAACATCGGAGAAAAAACCGGAGACCCTGACTGCACGTAAAAAACCTCTATTTTTAAGTTTCAATTTAATGGTGACTTGTCTGTCAAGTGAGATTTTATTCCAGAGACTTTCCAGGAGTATACGGAGAACGTTTTACCCAGTATATCTATGTGTGCGCCAGGTTCGTCTTGCGATTTGGTGGGGTTCATAACCGGCGTCATCTGTATGTTGATGTGAGCGAACTGGTATCACCTGCTACCTCTTTGAAATACGAGACTAAGTTACAATTAATGCTTGCTAGCAAGCAATCCCCCAAGTAGTATAAATATATATTGGCTTCATCTGCAAGCTGTCATACAAAGGGCGAGTGTAGCTGTTTGAGGCCTAAAAGAATGATCCACTAAAGGCCAATGGGTTTCTGCTAGCTCCTTGCAACTCCTTGGTGAACGTCGGTCCATTCCGGCTGGTAGCGGAAGGACCGGAAAGGGTGATGGTCAGAATGTGAAAGTGAGATGGAGTCAGCTACTGCATCTGGCAACAGTTAGACACTGTTTCAGCTCATACGAGCCACCAGCAGCAAGAAACAACATGTTAGCGAAACGGACTGTGAGATAGACGGCCCGTTAATTACCAGCCTGAAAAGATGCCTGAGTAGACGCTGGGTAGAGCCCTTCGAGAGGCAGTTTAGCTGGCCACCAGGTTTAGTAGTCACTGTCATTAGCTCCAGTGCTCCCACAAACCGAAGCGGGGGTTCGTAAGGAACTCCAAGTGTTAAAACGCCATAATAAGGCACCCGGCCCAGAAGACAATCTACCCCTGGCTCTTTTTAAAGATGGTGTCGAGACTCTCGTAATAGCTCTAACTGGATTATTCAGGAAGGCATTGGAGACTGAGAGTGGGCCATCCATGTGGAACGAAGCCATTATCGTCCCTATCTTCAAAAAGCAGTTGACGTAATTCATGCGATAATCATAGAGGTATCAGTCTGTTACCAGTTGGCTACCTTTGCTAGCTGGCTCCATACTGAAGATAAAATGGGGCTGGCCGGCCGGCCGGAAAGAGTAAGTAAACAAGAAACTCTGACTGACAAAAAGCCAACCAAGAGCCGATCGTACAACAAATATATTGTAGGATGAGGTGGATCACACATACATTGAGGAGGCCGTCGAATGACGTTGCGCGTAATGCACACCATCGCTCGAGTGGGGAATACAAATGGTAGGGGCGATGATTGGGTTGTCAGTACGAGGGTGACATGGAGGAGGAGATCGTGGAAGAGATTATGAAGAATCGTGGATCCAGGCTGACGTGGATGGTAGAAAATAGAGGCGAGTGGAGATGTGTTGTTGAAGCCAGCCTTATGTTCCACACGGAACCCAAGGGGATAATAATAATAAATAACAGTATGAAGCAGCTACAATATTCAGTGGTATAATGAAAACCAATAGTGTACATGATCTTTTCACAATAATACACTTCTGATGTATAGTTTGGTTTGTAAGGGTTAGGTATGTTTTTACGAATTGATCACGGATTGATATCAACCAGTTAGAGAAGAATTGAAAACCAGCATTGCGGGAAGTACTGGATAGCTGTTTCATCAGCCTAGTTTGGGAATCATCGGCAGTACGCACCCACCGCAGTGGGGTTCGAACCCAGGACCTTCCGGTTACAAGGCAAGCTAGCTAGCTGGCTCGTATACCATTCAGCCACCACTCACTGGGACCCGATTCCTCAATGGCCAGCCAGTGCATGAATTCTAACTTCTACCAATTCGTGATGCATTTAGCGCGATCTCAACCAATGTCGTTGGTGCGACATCCATCCTCACACGTGACATCTCGATGGACATCATTGGTCACCACTTCTCACTAGAACTGACTGACTCCAGGAAGCTCCATCCTGTAGCAAGTCACTAGCGAGCATCAGATTAATTTTCTATAGTTTGGTTTGTAAGGGTTAGTTATATTTTGCTTTTACGAGTTGATCACGGATTGATACCAGTTAGAGAACCATTGAGAAACCAGCTGGGAGTTCTGGACAGCTGTTTCATCAGTCTAGTTTGGGAATCATCGGCAGTACGCACCCACCACAGAGGGATCGAACCCAGAAGTTAGAATTGATGAGCCATTGAATCGGATCCCAGTGAGTGGCTGAATGGTATACAAGGCAGCTTGCCTGGGTTCGAACCCTCTGTGGTGGGTGCGTACTTCCGATGATGATTCCCAAACTAGGCTGATAAAACAGCTGGCTATCCAGTACTCCCCGCAATGCTGGTTTTCAATGCTTCTCTAACTGGTTGATATCAATCCGTGCTTGATCAACTCGTAAAAAAAAATTGAGTTGCAAAATTAACTCACTTTGTATTTATTATAGCCAATTCAGGAAGAAGAAAAAAGAAATTATAATAATAATCATAATAATAATAATTACCTGTAACATTTGTTTGGCTCGAGCGAACATAGTTTGTGTCAAAAGAGTTTCAATAGAAAGACAGTTCCCCTGTTGAATCACCAAAAAAGAGTAAAATACTTATGTCAATTGACATAAGAATAAAACTTGTGCACTGTGGTGGTAGAGTGTAATTTCATTAAGGGTAAATTTTCCTTTTGATAAAATCTCACAGTGTTGTTATACAGTAATGTTTACTATCTCCCGTGTGAAGTGGTATAATAAGGTGAGCAATATTGAGGTTAGGCGTCGAGGTGCTAGGTAACCAAGAGGGGAAATCAATCGACGAGACTGTGAAATTACATCGACTGAGTTGGTTAGGACATGTTCTACTTATGGCTAGTCATCACCTTCCTCGACAATGGGCAATGTTAGCTGATATAGGGCCAGGCTGGAAAAGAGCTAGCGGCGGTCAAACCAAAACATGGCACCAGTTAATGAAATCTACAACAGTTAGCTTAAGCCACGTAGGAAGATGTAGACTTCATGACTGGTTGGGGTCTTCAGGACGGTAAAAACCAATGGTTGAAAACAATTGGTGACATGGCTCAAAATCGTTCTCAATGCATAGCGTAGATGCATCCACTCCTTGTGACTTACTTATGATTTCCAATGAAACTGTTTTGTTCTTCGTTATTACTATTCCTTTGTCTCACACCTCTGTTTACTGTCTATATTATGCATTTCTCCTACTTTCTTCTCTTGCTTTGTGTGCTACATGGAGGGAGTGTGGCGACTTGAACTGCCGCACATATGTGCAAAGTTCTATGTCGAAAATCGACCGACCGACCGACCGACACAAACTTCAACACTGTGAATGGAAAACTTTGAAATACATACATACACAGTAAAATCGCATCAAAGCATAAAATGGTCTTACTAGAGGATGGAACAACTTCTGTGTGTGTGTGTTTAACTTACATGTACTGTAGTTCCAAATAACTGAGTTAGAGAAGTGGAAATTTCCGGACGATGGCTTAGACACAGCGGTCGCCGAGGTTCTGTCATATCAACATGAATGGTGAGTGAATAAGCTGGATAAAAATAAAAAGTCAAATCGAATTTTAATAATCTTACAGAAGAAGACACTGCTTATTACTGTTATATAAAGAAAAAAAGAGCATCATAAAAGAGTGAAAAACCAGAATTTTCACTAAAAAACTTACGAATAAATGACAGAAGATATACTCACACGACTTCGAAACTTGAGTTTTATAGTTTACTTCGTCCTCTCCTATTTGTCGTCATTGGGGTAGTAGAAGATACCAGATATCTGAGTGGACATTCCCATTACACCTATTCTCTCTCAGTCGATTCGATGAACAGAGAGAATAGTTCAGCAGCTATCGCAAGCACTACATGAAATCACACACACCCAAACATACAGTAGGTTGGATGGGATAAGATGACAGTTTTGAAATCTAATGTCACAGGGTGGCGAGTGGGGAAGATTGATAACGGAAGCTTTGTTTGTCGAATCAACAGCAAATCAGCACGTGGAATAGGAATGATTCAACACCTGTCCACCCCAATGTCTGGAAAATTCTACTACCCCAATGAGGACGACAAATAAGAGACAACAAAGAAAACTATGAAACTCAAGTTTCGAAATCGTGTGATTATAGTTGGTGAGGTGTATGATTATGAACAGGAATAATGAATTGTGTTCGAAACAACTTTGTCATCCAGTAAATACTAATACTGTTTCACTCACTGTGTGGTACATCTAATAAACAAACTAATATGGAATTAGAATGTGCGACAACTGCTCAACACTGACTGCTATGTTCTTTTCGCAAACCGAGACAGTCAAGCACCTCCACAATAATAATTACAATAGCAATAGTAGTACAGAACGATTATTATTATTATTGTATCATAATTATTGTTTACTTTAATTCCTAGAGAAACATAGGGCTTCAGCCGTGCGTCTCCATTGCGGTCGGTTCTCTGCTAGAGTCTTCACCTGGCTCCAAGTCTGCCCACACGCTTTCATCATCTTCTCTTCACATGACCTCCTCCAAGTCATCCTCACCCTCGCACTGACGACCAACTCGCCGCTTCCCTTTCGGGTTCCACTCGAGCAATGGCTTGTCTAGTGATGTCACTTGATGGTTTCCTCCGAGTATGGCCAGCCAATCCATCTTCATTTCTTCCTGCTTATTTGTTGCACAATCTGTTCCTGGTTGGTTCGCTCATTGCCAGAGATCCCTGTTGCTGATCTTTTCTGACCGACCATCTGATCTTGAGTGGTATTGAGCGAAGACAACTAGCTGTTGATGAAAGTCTGAAGTTTGTTTGAGGTGCTCTTCATGACGCGCTAGCCAAGTCTCTGATCCGTGTAGTGAGTAGCACTGACTAACTTCACATTGGAGTTGAAAATCCGGATCTTATTTTCATTTTCATGCTGAGTAGTGCTGAGTGTTTACCTCCACATACACTTGAGAGTAGTGAAAGCTTTTCTTGCTTTCCCGATCCTCGCTGCTTTGATATCCTCGTCAGTTCCGCCCGCCTGTAGTTGAAACGATGCTTCCCAGGTAGGTGGGTAGCTGAAGGAGGTTGTTTCTTTCAGGTTCCTCCCATTTATGCTGGCTGATTTTTGTCTGTTGTTGCTGTTGGTGTTGTTGGCCAGGAATCTTCATCACCTCTGTTTTCTCTATGTTCACCTGAAGTTCTATCTTTGGTACATATAATAATAATAATAATAATAATAATAAAGAGTGGTTGATTTCAACCATAGTAAAATTCACTGACGAGAAAAATTAATAATAAACCACTCGGGGTGTTACAAGCGGAGAAGTAATAAACACTTACCAGTAGGATGTAATTTTCCATCTAGACTCATGATTGAATTATATTGAGTCCTGGCTAAACCATGCCAATAACAGATCGATAGACACCTACTAGGCCTATACGCCTCTATGGTGAACTGGTCCGGTGACCGTTTTGAACGTATCCGTTGCGCTTGTTCATGCAACATATCCAGTTGAAGTGATAAGCTAAAAGCATCTTCAAGTATTCCACGGGGAAGAGAATGTCATATTAAAAGAACTGTTAAGGCTGAAAAAAGCGCAAAATCATTATTCTAAAAATTTGACATCTTTAGAAGTGTGTATGTGTGTCGGCGGTTGATATTTCCCGGCTGCCCACACACCACTGTGGAAATCGCTTGATTCATCGGGTACCTGAATCAGAGAGAGAGAGAGGGTTAGTGTTGCGCGTGACCGCAGAGCCCAGTAGGGGACACAACTGCTTGAGCCAGGCCGGCGGTCACACACACTCACGGCCTGTATGAACTGGTTTCTTGGTTTGGTGCCGTATTAGTAAACTTGCCGCCGGTTACGCCCCACCGTAGGTAGGGTACAATTTTTGGGATCGACCTTTTTAACCTCCTCCTCGTCTCCATAGTGGAGAGACAGCATAGCTGGCTGGCATGTTGGTCATCTGAGGGAAACACCTCACTTCTGTTACACCCCTGTTCTCCAGAAGTACGACTTCGCCCACAGAACCCCAGCATAGTGTAAGAAAGATTCTTACACTATGCCTGGTATGGTAGGACCTGCAGGAACATTGGTTCCAGCCAGTGTAGCTTGTTGGGTCATCGCGATGTGCAAGCCCGACCACCACTTCAAGGTAGCAGCGATCGGTTGGGCCTTCCTCGACAATGGGCAATGTTAGCTGGCTGACATAGGACAGGTCAGGCTGAAAAGAGCTAGCTAGCGGTGGTCAAACCAAAACATGCCTTCACCAGTGAATGAAGAAATCCACAACAGTTAGTAGTTTAAGCCAGACAGCCAGCCACGTAGGAAGGTGTAGACTGGCTTCCTGACTGGTTGGGGTCCTCGGGATGACGGTAAAAACCAATGAAGGCTGGAAATAATTGGTGATGATATGGCTCCAAGTGATCGTTCTCAATAATGGCTGGCTGGTTGGCGCAGATGCATCCACTCCTTGTTACTTATGATTTCCAATGAAACTATATTGTGTTCTTCGTTATTACTATTCCTTTGTCTCACCACATCTCTATTTACTGTCTCTCTATTATGCATTTCATTTTTACTTTCTTCTCTTGCTTTGTGTGCTACATGGAGTGGAGGGAGTGTGGCGGCGACTTGAACTGGTGCACATTGGTGCAAAGTTCTATGTCGAAAACAGGCAGACAAAACTTGACATTCCAGGTAATAAAACAGGGGTATTTCGTCCCCCCATTTGAACGCTCCCGAACTTTACCAGACCGTCATCTGGTATGTAACCAGAGAAACCGGTAACAATAAAAAAAAACTTGCTTACAGAAGACTTTTTAGATGTAGTAATACCTTAATTATCTGAAAACGCAATTTTTGATTCAAAATACAATATATAAAAACACTTTTCTATTTTGATAACAGTCACTCTTCTATACGAGAGCGCTCGAAACTACTAGTACCTTTATATAGTCTTCTTAGGTATGTTACAGGATTTCATCGTGAGCTGACATTGGTTAGAGAACCATTGGAAAACCAGCCACAGGGAGTACTGGACAGCCAGCTATTTCGTCAGCCTAGTTTGGGACTCTTCATCAGTACGCACCCACCGCCACGGTTCGAACCGGTGACTAGCTGAATGTGCTTCAAAGTAGAACTTTGCACAGAAGTGCAGCAGTTCAAGTTGCCACACTCCATGTAGCATAACAAAGATGGAGAAAGGCAAAATGAAAATTTCGAAAGAACTATAAAATAACACAACGCAAGAGAGAATAATTACAATGGTAAACACACCAGAACTTAATGGTCAATGAGACTACAAAGAGTGGAAGCATCTGCTGCATTGAGAATGACTTTGAATCATGTCCTCACCAGCAGCAGCTTCAGTCCATTGGTTGTTACACCAACCTCAACCAGGGGCAGTTTACACTTGCTTCACGACATAGCTGGTTCAAACCAACTGATGTCAGTCCCCCCCCCGCTGACTCCTTTCCAACCCAACCGTAAAACTCCTCGTGGAAGAAAGTTGGGATTAGAGCATGAGTAACATACACACACACATATTCTAACCATCTCATAGATTGACATTTCCCTCTCTTCCTACTGATTGAATACAAAAATAAGTAATTCTTATTCCTGAAGACGTCCTGGAATTAAGACAGAGAGAAATATCTGATCTGCACGAGAAACCAAACTGATTCTTGCTAAAGAGGGTGAAAATATAACACATCAATGAATTTTTCACTCATACAAACCTACAACATTATAAATTATAAATCAGGGGAATTAGAAACTCAAGTTTATAGAAAATCAACTCACACAGACCAAATCCTGAATTACAACAGCAACAATTCAGTAGCACACAAGAGGAATTGCATACAAACACTATTCAAGAGGGTCACAGCCAGTCAGGACTCATTGCAGCAATCCCACCTTAAGGAAAATTGACGAAAGATATCTCATGGACGTCTTCCAAAAGAATGGACGGATATCCACGGAATTTCATCAAAAGACATATACCCCCCCCCAAGCCAACCTATCAAACCAGAAGCCCCAAAGGAAAGCACAAAGAAAATCGCCCTACCATGTATAAAAGATATCTCAGAAATCACTGCAACACTCTTCAAACCTTTAGGAATTGACTTCGCACACAAACCAACAAAATCACTTCACTCAGCCAGCTCTATGTCAACCAAAAGACTCAACAACGAAAGAAGATGAAACTAACATCACCTACAAATTGTAACAACTGGCTTAATAATACTGCTTTGATAAAGCTAATAGCAGCAGCAGCATTGAATAGCGAAACGTTAGTAAAACAGAACCATATAGTTTTGTTTTTCATTCATTCATTGGGAAATACAAGAAAACAACCTTTATTATAATGTGAATACTGACTTACAAGTCAATCAACACTTTCAAAAACACGGTGGTTGGTTAGTTAGTCAGTTAGTTGTCCAGACTTTTGTTGTTTCGTTAGCAAGTAAGCAAACAAAATCATATTTGAACAAATTAAATATGAAATGATTTTTTTAAATGATAATTAGGGTTATATGATAATATGAGCAAAAAAGAAGCACTATGATAGGCATACGCATAAGCATAGTAATGCTAATCTCATTCGTTAACACAACCAAAACACATTCACGACACTGAATATGTATATATATATATATATATATATATACTTATGTGATAGAGATTTGTAGCTCAGGTGGATTACTTTGATGTGTTTGTGTTCTCTGAGCTAGCTGGAGAGTTAATTTGTGGAGCTTTTATCGTCCTACTGGATAGGCGACATCCTCAGCGCATACTTCAATTTCAATTTGAAGTGAGCTTTTAGATTTCTCCACGAGTTCACCATTAATCATCTCTCCTGGTCGATGACCACCTTGGACGTGATTGGTTGTTTTTGTGTGTTTTCTCACCCCCTGTAGGTGGCTACTTGTATTGGAACTGATTGTTTCATTGATTTGAACTATGACCCTTTGTGTGTGTGTGAGGTTTCTTTCTTATCGGTTGGTAAATTTAGTCGATTGGTTGGTAATTCACTGGAATACCAGGGAGGCTTCTAAAAATTCTCTAGCATTCTCGGTGTTGTTTCCTCTGTCTAATATTTGAACGTTGATTGTCCCAGTCGAATTGATGTCCGTGGTTGTCTGTATGTAGTGATATGAGGGAGTGGACGTCTCCTTCGTCTTCGTATCCACGAACATAAGCTAGCCGTCAAAAGACATGACATCTACTCCCTCACTCATATCGCCTCACTGCATACAGATAACCACGGACATCAATTCGACTGGGACAATCAACGTTCAAATATTAGACAGAGGAAACAACACCGAGAATGCTAGAGAATTTTTAGAAGCCTCCCTGGTATTCCAGTGAATTACCAACCGATAAGAAAGAAACCTCACACACACACAAAGGGTCATAGTTCAAATCAATGAAACAATCAGTTCCAATACAAGTAGCCACCTACAGGGGGTGAGAAAACACACAAAAACAACCAATCACGTCCAAGGTGGTCATCGACCAGGAGAGATGATTAATGGTGAACTCGTGGAGAAATTTAAAAGCTCACTTCAACAATTGAAATTGGAGTGTATGCGCTGAAGGAAGCTAACGCCCATTAGGGCGATGAAAGCTTGGCAAATTAACTATCCAGTTAGCTCAGAGAACACAATGACATCAAAGTCATCCACCTGAGCTACAAATCTTCGCCATCATATCTAAATCGCACTAAAATATATAAGGCAACCAACCAAAGTAAACTCGTCAATCACAATAGGAATAATTTCGTGCTTGAGTGAAATTATTATTTTTTTTGGGTGACAGCTTGATGCCACACCGTATTTTCAGTGCAAGTATGGAATTTTCAGCATGGATATCGGTAGCCCAAATTTTGCAGGCCGACCATAGATATTGGGTGTGCGTCGGCAGGGGATCGAACCTCGGACCATGTGCATGGTCGACGAGAGTCCTAACCACTGTGCCACCGACGCACATCGATGACAAAAATGCGGTGATGCCTAACACATCTGTAGACATTTGCCTGTATGTTTTTATAAAGCAAATATTCAAGTTATATGACCATGTGATATTAGATAGTTGAAAGCAATCGGCCAGAGGAAGCCTCGCTCGACCTAGGTTTCATGCTAGTTGGCACTCACCACCAGTCAGTCAGTCAGTCAGCAAGGCGTATCTGCAACCACATTGAAGGAACAGCTCATGTCCCACCCATCTGAGATTCGACACCGCGTCACCCAGTGCCGCCTGCAGAGACGTTACCACCACTGAGCTATTCGGGCTGGCTTGTGATTGACCTGCTGTAGGACTGTAGTGTAGTGGGTAGTTTGATTGGACACTAGTCAGTAACTAGTGTGATGTGTCTGGCTAGTCCTTTCTCTGGTGCAGACTGAATTCTATCAGTCAGTCAGTCAGTCAGGTTTTGCAATGTGGCCACCATACCACTACTAGGTGGCTAGCTCGCCATCACAGTGTTTTAAACTAAACAAATGTGATATGTAGGAAATTCACTGGATCAAGGAAACAAAAAAATTATGAGAGAATAACACACACACACACACACAAATAGTGCATAAAATCACTTTGAAAAAAAAAATTACACACACACACACAAAAGGATACGCAACATGTCGTAAAGATGAACAAGTGGTGGACGTTTATCGAACTGACGATGAAGAAGACGTGACTGAGCCTGATTGATGATAAGCCTTGTCTGAGCAGGATGGACAAGATCCTGATAGTCTAAAAAACAAATACACAAAATGTGAAATTATAAAATAGAACGTCGTTCGTTAAAAACTCACCTACAATAAGACATAATTAAAAAATTCACTTTATCCTACAAGACTATTCGAGACCGCAGTATGAGTCCGTATTTTCAGGAAAAAGTGGTAAATATCAACAAACCATCGAATTTCCGAACATCACCAACCCTGCACAGTGGTTGGTTGGTTGGTTACGTAAAGGACAAACAAAATCTATTCTCACCGCTGCTATTCTATCTCACTCATCTTCTTGTGGATACAGAATACAAGACTGACTGTTGTTAACAAGGCGACGGCTTTCAGGGTGATTTACCGAATACCAACAACAAATCTCAATTTCGCCTTAACAGTTCGACTACTAAATACATTGCTGAGGCTGGCTAGCTGGCTGGTTGTTGGGATCCATATTAACAAGCCTAATTTGTGCATACAAAAGAAGTTTGTTGGTTGGTTCAGACATTATCCTTACCCGCTTGGCCATCTAGGTTTGAATGATCGATCCTGAATTTTTGTGAAATTTTCCTAATTGTAGTTGATATTCTATTTGCTACCATATCTTTATTATTATTATCATAATTTAAGCATCTTTAATGAACTGTGGTGATTCCATTGTGATCTTACTTTACAAATCGATATTACTATTTAAAAAGCACACTAATATTGATATTGACTACTAATCTAGAATATTATATTTATATAAACATGCATATATAGATATAATTGTAGAGCGAGAAGAGGATGAGGAATTTATCGGAAAGGATATTCTTTGCTGGCTCAATTATATTTTGTGTTTTATAAAGCGTACATAAAAACGAACGGCCAACAATGACGTTTCTCATGGCTGTGCAAAGTTTTGCATTTCGTTTGAAATTTTCACGAAAAAGACAGAACTAAGCTAGCATTTGACATCTGTCAAGTGTCATAAACTAAGGAAACAATGTGCTCTTACCAGACAACAACATAAGGAGATAATACCTATCTAGATACACAATTATAAAGACAAGAATTTTTTCCAGCTTCGTAGAATTTGCAAACCAATTTACTTATACAACAGGATTTGAATGGTCCATATTCGATATCAGCATTCAGGGTGTCTTAACCGAATATAAAATAAGCTCTCTGTGGTGCTTTTAAGTTTTCTCGAACTAGCTGGCAAAATCTATCGAAGGCAATCATGAAAATGTCACTAAATCAGAGATTCAGGGAATTTCAAAACTTTCGGCACTTAAAACAGTAGTATTACAGACTCCTCCGGGAACTAATGCCTAAAATAAATATATAAATAAATAATAATGCGTATCGGCCACATACAAGCTTTTGTGCCACACATGAATTAGGGTGTCGTCTGGTAGTAGCAGGGTCACAAATACTGCTTTAACTACTTTAACATTGTGTATTAGCTGCAAAACTATTTTTAGAGATCCTATTATGTTAATATATGTGTAAAACTTGGGCACTGTGGTGGTAATAAGTTATTCCATATTAGTTTGTTTATTAGATGGATGGATGTATCACACACAGTCAGTTAGTGAGTGAAACAGTATTAGTATTTACTGGATGACAAAGTTGTTTCGAACACAATTCATCATTATTGCTGTTCATAATCATATCACCAATTATAATCACACGACTTCGATACTTGAGTCTGATAGTTTTCTTTGTTCTCTCCTATTTGTCGTCATTGGGGTAGTAGAATTTTCCAGATATCCGATTGGACAGGTGTTGAATCAGCCACGTATTTACAGTTGACTCGATAAACAAAGCTTTCTGTTACATTATATGATGACAACACCAACAATAAGGAATCTAAGTCATCAGTAGTAATTCCATACAAGGAAGGAACCTCGGAAGCCTTACGCAGAATTCTTAACAAGGCAGGCAGGAATAAAAGTGGCTGATGGCATTCAAACCAACCACAAACTCGATTAGAAACAAGCTTTTTCGGTTAAAAGATCAATCTTGTGGAGCCTTTAACCGACAAAACTATTTAGTTTATCCAATATCCTGCCTGCTAGAATGATTGTCAGGTCAAATACATAGGTCAGAGTAGTAGAACAGGGTCAGTCAGTGAGTCAGACTAACCGAGCATAAAAACCTGGCAGCCAAATCTAGATTGGTTGACCCAAATAAGATAAGAAATCTAGGAAATAGTTCAGCTATAGCACTACATGCAGTTACACACAACCATACAATAGGCTGGATGGGAAAAGATGACAGTTTTCAAATCTAATACAACTAACAGGGTGGCGAGTGGGAAAGATTTGTTTATCGAATCAACTGAGACAGAATACGTGTAACAGGAATGATTCAACACCTCTCCACCCAGATATCTGGAAAATTCTACTACCCCAGTGACGACAAATAGGAGAGAGAGAAAACTATAAAACTCAAGTTTCGAAGTCGTGTGATTATAATTGGTGATATGATTATGAACAGCAATAATGAATTGTGTTCAAAACTTTGTCATCCAGTAAATACTACTACTGATAGTGTCTTACAACTTGTCTCTCACAATCACGTGGTAGATACACACAGCCCTAACATATACCCCAAAACCTCCAAAAATCAAGTTAACAATGAACAAAAAAAGCCGCTACATTTGTCTTAAAAAGTAGGTGGACACCGAACTTTATAAGGTTTGTTTTTCCTACATTATGTGCTGTTTTGAAGGATGACAGCCTGAACTAACTAACGCCCTTTCATACAAAGTTTTACATTGAACCAGACGTCGATTTCGCGGTGATTGGTGCTTATTATCAGCTGAACTTCGAAGGTCACAGTCCAAAGAGGTTTTTCCTTCCTAGAAACAAGCTGCAAAAGCAACTACCTATATATTGACTAGTGTGGAATTCCATGAGTAACTTGTCTGTTGGATATATTACGCATTATACATACTGAGGTACATACTACAATATCATCATTATATAAGTGTATTAAAGACGAGGCTGTGAAATTACATCGACTGAGATGGTTAGGACATGTGTCACGTATGCGTGGCCTAGTGATCGCCTTCCTCGACAATGGGCAACGTTAGCTGGCTGACATAGGACAGGTCAGGTTGAAAAGAGCTAGCTAGAGGCGGTCAAACTAAAACATGACTTCACCAGTGAATGAAGAAATCCACAACAGTTAGTAGTTTAAGCCAGACAGCCAGCCACGTAGGAAGGTGTAGACTGGCTTCCTGACTGGTTGGGGTCCTCGGGATGACGGTAAAAACCGATGAAGGCTGGAAACAATTGGTGATGATATGGCTCCAAGTGATCGTTCTCAATGACTGGCTGGCTGGTTGGCGCAGATGCATCCACTCCTTGTTACTTATGATTTCCAATGAAACTATATTGTTCTTCGTTATAACTATTCCTTTGTCTCACCACACCTCTGAGTTAACTGTCTCTCTCTCTTTTATGCACTTCATTTTTACTTTCTCTTCCTGTGTGTGCTATAAGGAGTGGAGGGAGTGTGGTGACTTGACCTGCTGCACATCAGTGCAAAATTCTATGTCGAAAACAGACAGACAGTGTTTAAGATATTAATGGTTTGTTATCTGTACAAAAACTAATGAAAAAGAAAACGGATCATATGGAATCATTATTGTATTAATCACGACTGATTAGTCCTTCCTATAAATGTGAAGGTCCGATCTCTGAACTTTAAGGGTGTTTTTGGTCCGTAGCAACACCTGTTGATCTGACTCAATGGACGCACATTTAATTCACTTCAGTGTGCCTATTTATTGTTAGTTGGGATTAAGGGGAAGTTGACTATGAGACTCACTAGAGCAATGTTTACAGTAAGTATTCATCATTGTAGAGTTAGCATTCTCAGAACAGACATCATTTTTTTTAACTGTACGCGACTTAGCTATTACTAGGACTGTCTACAATATAACATCTGCTTGTAAGGGATTAACAAAAACTTCGATTGAATGTGACTGATTGCGAGCAAATCCATGAAATTTATACTATAGTAGACTACACTTGTGACATAACTGGGGAGTAATAATTAGTAGGGATTTTGTGACGTTATTACAAAACGGTCGCAGTGATTGGTGTTACAATTTTACTGGACTTATTCACCTACTTGGGCGTATTTTTTCTTCGGATGACACGGGGGCATTTAGTTAATCTAACAACCACTTCGGAAATACAACAACTTAATTAATTTTGCCAAATATATAAAGCTTAATTAAGAATTAAATTTTAGCGCGTATATAAACAGGCAGTACAGCATTTCCGAGGTGCGTCGGTGGAGATTTAATCACAATGTTTAAATAATTTTAAATAATGACTACGGACCTGACCTATTCTCTCTTTTCCTTCCTACCTTAGAGGACATAGCAGGAGAGTTCAAAATCCAAAAAGAAATCATATTGCTGTTGAGTACTGGTTCTCACATCGAGTCATAAACTCTTGAAACCGATTGACTCCCAGAAGAAGTGGTGGTGTCTGCAACCTCAACTGATTCATTCAAGAAGGGTTTGGACAACCATAGAAATTTACTAGAAAAGGATTAACATAGGCTCCAAGCCTTCTATCCTCAACAAATAAATCTGAAATCTGAATTAGAACAGGAAATACAGCTAATGATAGTTAGAAAATATAGACAGATGTTCCTAGAATATTAATACAAATCATCTAAAATTCAGTCACCACAATAAGAATTTAGCGAAGCTAATGAAGCTAAAACACACTCCACTGGGTTCACGTAAAGGGGACATCATGAAAACCGAGAAACCGGGTATGGATGAGACAATATTACACATAATTCGTAATCAACTTACTCATCAATGGGTCTTTTATTAAAAACTTGATGTCCAGAATTCGCCATGGGAAATCAAGTGCCTCTGACATTAGAGTTAATGTGACCTACAAAACTTTCAGCTAAAAGACCTTGTCAACTTACACTGAATTCATTTGGAACGAGAAAATGCGCACGTCCGTTAGCTGAAATAAAAGTTCGTCTAGCGAATTTACAATACCTACCTATTTTTATTTTTCGGAACTGATTTGGTATCTGACTAAGGCTAAGACGAGTTTGAATTAAACTGTTCAAATTTAATAAAATCTCCTTCTTTTCTTTTTCATATATCGATTGTTCAACAATAGCACAATTCTTAAAGACTGTCAAGGAATTATTTAACTACCTTAATTGACTTAGGAAGACGAGTGTATCCTTTTTTAGTGAAAACCTCTATAGCACTAAGCACAGAAAAAGGAGGCAATCTGCAAAAAAATTAGATGTAGTAAATGACTTACCTGGCACTGACAAGTGTTTCCCTGAGAAGTCTGGAAAGAGCATTAGCTGTGCTAATTAAGAAGAATGTTTGTTCTTCTAAAAAGTTGGAGATTTTCTGGGTGACGTACGGTATTAAAATTTTAGAGGGCAACAATACCTCACACTTGTCAACCTTTGACGCACTGTTCGACCACTTTACAAGTGCTTCAAGTCTAATGAATATGTGCTGCGTTCGACTGAAGAATGTGGCAATCTCAATTTTCTTTTCGAGATCAGTTTTGCTTGGCAACCTGTTGAAAATATTGATGAACTACAAGAATACCCACAAATCAATAAGACGCATTAGATCCGTATACACTTTTTGCGAAATAAATTCAATGAGCACAGACAAAGGTATTGTGCCTGCACTAAATCTGCCCACATGTTCCATTTCCGAACGTTCCTATAACACTCAGACCGCAAACACGACGGACGATGGAAGAAGGCAAAGACGGCGGGTAAGATACGTTTATATAACACTCAGACCGCAAACACGTCGAACGATAGAAGAAGACAAAGACGGCGAGTAAGATGCGTTTATTTCAAGCAAAACGAGGCTTGAATAGCCCGGGGTACAAGTTACTTATCGTCATTTATAACAAGCTTAGAGAGCTGGTCTTCCTCTTGCTCTAGTGATGCCACGTTGAGGTTTCTTTCTGAAAAAGAAGAAAAAGAAACTTGTTTAGTGGCATTATATTGGTTTCTATTGCGTTACAGTTCCGACATAGTTACGCAATACTTGATTTAAGCGCTTCTTCCTGACGAATAGCATATTTGTAATTCGGATTATTGTCTGAAGTGAATTTCCGAGGATATGTTAATTAATTTCTATAAACTAATCATACTTTTCTGTTCCCTCTCTGGATAGATCTATTCAGGTTACTGACACCAATTGTAATTATAAGTAGAATAGTTCGCCTTTGGCTAATGAAATCGGCTGATACATCTTCTGGCAGTTTACGAACTGTTGGAATGAAGAGAAGAAGATATAACAGGTCCATAGTCACTTCTCAAGATCCTGAACACAATAAGTGAGTAACTTCTGTGACTGAGGTATAGTAAGAGGATGACACTTTAAAATACATAGGTCAGTATAGATAACATTTCCCTTTGCTTCCTATTAAATTTCTAGTGAATTACGGTTTTAAAACAGTCACCTGGGGTCAGTTAGGGGCATCAACTGACAACAAAACGTATGAGATTACATATCGCTAAGAAAACCTTATTTTTCATATTCGCTAGCACCTACTAGTGTAGCTAAATAAAGGTGTTTTTAAAACTATCGACAGTTCAGGATAAGATCACTTCGTCCGAAGTAACCACAAAGCTAGCATTGAATAGTCTTCCCTCATCAACTACCGAGTTTCCGGCAATTTACCAAAGGTGTCTAGATACCAAACCCTTAGAAAAGCAGGGGTCATTGCAATTTGCAGCCATACCTGCAAAAGAAAGATGCAGCCACCATTGATACCCTGGACTGCTGTAGAACCTATAATTTTTAAATTCTCTATTGCTTTGATAATGTGTCCTGTATTCAGCTTAGAGTAAAATGGCTGCGCATTATCGCCTAATAATGCTTTCGAAATGGAATCTTTTGATATTACTGCCCCACTCTCATTTAAAAGTGTAATGTTGTAAATAATAATTATTGTGTTCATATAAATGTAAACCTGATGACAAATTCATCGAGGAGAATATTCATTGTCCATCAGTTGGCTTTTATGTAACTTTTAATGGGCATTCCCAACCACTTAAAACTGGGTGAACTACAAAATGAGCTGTATTGGTGAATCATTGCACGAAATTATTAGACCATAGAGTCCATCATTCAACGCTGTATAGAAGTTTACTGCCCAAGTCAACTGGCTGTGCTAAGACTACGCAGTCAAGTACCCACACGATTTTGCACGATGTTACGTCTGGTAGTTCATGTGCACAGTATGCAACTATCTCCTATAGAAGTTTCTGATCCCGTGATATATTTTGAGACTGACGTTTCCCATGGTATTATAGGAACGGCTTTGATGGCGCGTTACCAAAAGGATGCTTTCTACGTACCTAATTTTCTTCAGTTATCATCACATGAATATTTCGAACACATCAAGAAGGGATTCAGTCAATTAAGTCATCACTTATAGGATACATCTATGGTATTAGGGGTCATACATGGGCATGATCTATGAATGTTTACAACAAACATGAGTCTCTGTAATGATTAATAAATAAATAAATCAATTTATTCTCATAGTACAGTACATGAAGGACGCCAGTTTACAGGCATCATCAAATTGTTACAGAAATAGAACCATATAATTCAATCACAATTTACAGGCAGTAGCAGGATATGCTTTACATGTTCGCTAGAGATTATACATACACTTGATAAATGTTAATCCCAGTAGTATAAAACAGCCTTTTCACTTATATACAATCATTTCTGTGCACAGTTGAAAACCTCTGTTAGATTGTCAGTGAGTGCAACACATCAGGAAATACAGAAGTATTTTCTTCGCATTAACACAAAACCAGGTCTTTGTTGGATGGATTATAAGTGCCTGGGAAAAAAAATAAAGCTTGAAGTCAATTTTCATGCATAACTTTGTTGTGTGCAGAATCCTTGAATTATAGTTCATTGATGCGTTATTTTGAAATCAGTGATATGCTTATCTCATTTGATCTGCAATGTCATTGTTGGGAGTAAATACATTGGCTTCAGACACATTAATTAATGGATTTCTACTGCTTGTGGGTATTTTCTTAGCGTGAGGAAGGTTTATGAATTTCAGCTGTTCCGACAGGAGTTGAGAATATTAACTGCTCAGCAACACTATGGATACAAGTTCATCATACTATCTAAGGAAAGGTGAGTTGCAGTTGGTGAGGGATATATGGTGCCCAACGAACGTACATCTGTCCACGTGATGTTGTGGTGAGTTATACCTTTTTCATGTTGTCGGCTTATGTCCATTTTATTCCACTTATTGTGTTGGGTAGTAGTTTTACAAACGAGATTTCTTGTCTGTTTGAGGATACGTATGTTAACCGTTAATGTTTCATCTAGAATTATAAATATAGGCAAAAAACAACAGGTGTAATATTTAAGCTTATGTATTAAATGGGCCTATAATTTCGGAGGCTCTCAGATAGGAACTAGAACTACTATCGTTTGCAAGCTCTTGTAGTTTGTCATTAAGCACCTTTTCGAAAGAGGCCAATGTACTTGCCTGACGCATTTCCATTGGTAGTTTATTCCATATCTGTGCATACCTAATCAAGTAAAACTTTTGCCTGGTGGCTGTTTTACATTGTTCGATAGCTACTGTACCCTTAGTGTGTCTTAGTTTGTAGCCATTGTCATCTGAAAGTCGAGTGCCATTAGTAGAGGTAAAAACTAAGTGGTTTAGAAGCTTATAGTAAAGTGTTAAGTTTAGTCTCAGGCGTCTTAGCCATAGTGTTTCTAGTCCTAGGGTATCACATCTAGTGGAGTAGTTCGCACCATTTTCGGTTCCGAGTAATTTTAACGTGAAGTACCTCTGCACTCCCTCGACTTTCAATTTGTCCTTTATGCGTATACTACTATACATGAATGAACAGTAATCAAATAAAGGACGCACATAAACCTTGTACAACAGAATTCCAGACTCATTTCTGTAGAAGTTCCTGAGTAGAAAGCCGATAAGTCTGCGTGACTTTGACACTTGTTTGGAGATATGTTCAGAAAATGACAAGTTATGTGAATATTTCAGTCCTGGGTCCAGTACAGATTCCAGTCGTAGAAGTGCATGAACTTGAATTGTCAGGCCAAGTTCTAAGTTGTTGCAACCTATGCAGAGCCAGCCACATTTTTCGACGTTAAACTGGAGTTGCCAGGTGTCACACCATCTGTCCATTTTTTCTAATTCTTGTTGTATGGCGTTTACTGTTATTCCAAGATCTGTGTTCTTGCATTTATACATCACTTTTAAGTCATCTGCATGTAGTATTGGTTTACCTACACTAAAGCATTCACAGATACTGTTTATATATATTATGAATAAGAGTGGGCCTAATAAACTTCCCTGGATCACAGCACTACTTCCTGGTTTAGGCCTTGAGATTATCGGGCCAACTTTTGTTGTCTGACTTCGGCCACAGAGAAATGATTTTATCCAGCCCAGGAGAGGGACAAATATCCCTAGTGAGCATAACCTGCTGACTAGCAGATTATGGGGAACTCTGTCGAAGGCTTCTGTTATATCGAAATATAGCACAATTACTAGTTCTCTGTTGTCCCTACTTCGTGTAACTTCGTTGAAAAAGTCTATGTGACAGGTCACACATGATCTCTTTTTGAGAAATCCGTGTTGTGATGGATTGATAGGTTCATGTTCTAGTAAGTTGTCTGACACTTGGTCTTTAACCACTTTCTCCATTATTCGGGATATTACCGGTGTTATATTGATAGTTCTGTAGTTGCGTGCACTGGTTATGGCCCCTGCCTTGTGGTTTTCCACACTTCAAGATAAGTTCCAGTTTCCAGGGGGAGAGTAAATATTCTAAGTAACAAGACTACCATTTCCGTGCTACCATTTTTGTATATGACAGATGGTATGTCATCTGTTCCAGTACTACCATTAGACTTCAAAGTCTTAATCGCTGAGTCTATATTTTGTATATTAAAGTCTTTTTCGCCTAATTTGTGGTTACTTTTGCAGGCCATTTGGAAATTTTGGGTCGGGTGCACTCTGGCGTCATTGCAAAACCACTCACTGAGGAGTTCACTTATAACCTGGGGATCATTGTATATTATACCCTTATGTTCCAAGCTGCTTACAGTATTGTCTTTACTGCTTTTTAGACGTTTCTGCAATATCCTACAAAGTTCCTGAGTTTTGGAGTCACCCACAAGCGCTTTATTTTCTTCAAGTTGTGACATCATTTTGTGTTTATCTTCAAGCCGTTTAGGAGTTTCATGTATTTGGTTTAACGCATTAAATTCCTTAAATACATGGTATTTCCTTTTCAATTTCTTTAGTTTTAGTCGCGTTTTGCGGTCTGTAAATGGAGTTGGTGTCTTTGGAGCAGATTTTAGGGGCGCGATTGTGTCTCTTGCTGAGCCAATTGCTTTGTAGAAAATATCAAGTGATACTTCTAAGTTATTGTTGATGAGGTGTTCTTCCCAGTCAGAACTTCTCAACAGATCTGATAGGAATTCCCGATCGACATTCTTATAGTCCCTATATTGATAGTGCACTGGGGAATTTTTAGGTGTGTATTTAGTTGTTAGTCGGAGGGGTAGCGTGCAGTACAATATGTTGTGATCAC